TGCTAGCAGTGGGCAAAATTAGCCTGCAGTACCGCATTCTAACCACTGCACCACCATGGCAGAGATAGCAATAGCTCTTAGACTTATATGCCGCTTTACAATCCTTTACAGCCCTCTCTAAGCGGTTTACAGAGTCAGCCTCTTTCCCCCCCAACAACCTGGATCTTCATTGTACCCATCTTGGAAGGAAGGTGTTGTGGTTAGCCGGCAGTAGGTGCAGATGGCTGAGGAGAGCGAGGACTCAGATGAGGGGCCAGGACCATTCTGGACTGCTGCCTTCAGAGATTGTGGGGGCTGGCAGCAGCGATGAGGTGCGCAGGGTTGTTCGTAGGAAAGGGCAGCTGCAGCAGCACGGGCGACTCGGGAGTAAGGCTGCAAGGTGATGGCCCCTCCTTCCCGAAGATAAAAGCCAGCTGTGAATCGGGCATTCTTTGCAGGAAGCAAAGACGTTTTGAAACTCAGCCTCGTGGACATTCCAGTATCTTTAAGTGGGTATTTGAAGACTCTTGTGTTGTAAAATATTTCTTATCTGTGATTCTTGGCAGCCTCGCACAGTTTTGGCGAGGCTCGCGCTTATCAAAGTGAATTAGTTTGCAGCATCCTTTTAACCGGGGATTCGTAAGAATCATTAAAAGGTTTGGTTCGTGTTTGTTTTATTGGACAAGGGTTTGGGTCAGAACAGAAGGATGAAAGGCTGAGTCAACCTTGCGTCTGGTGAGATTCGAATTGTCCAATTGCAGGCAGCCGGCAGTCAGCAGAAGTAGCCTGCAGTACTGCACTCTGACCACTGCCCCACAGTGGCTCCTGGTGTTATAAGTCGAGGAGTATCTGTACTTGGAAGATAGTAATGGCCTGGATGAACCTGAAGAGGATGTTTTTGGCTTTCTACCCACTCAAAAAAAAAAAAACCGAGATGTTACCCAATCAGTAGCTCTTGTTGGCCCCCCCTGACTCCAAGCCTTCCACGGAAGCCAAATTTTTATTTTCCACCAGTTTCTCTGGCGTAACTCGAACCTTTTAATTGCCCAATGCAAGGCCATTTCATTAATGAATCAAATATAAACCATGGAGCCTTTCATCCAGAGCCGCTGACCTCTTGATGGATTGACCGCTGGCGACCCTCTCCTGTTCATTGTCAGCCTGTGGTCTCCTCCTTCCACAGAGGAAGAATTCAAGGTCGTTTCCCGGGGGGGGGGAGTTAAAAACAACCCTCTTTTCCCGTATTCAAGTGCCCTTTTCGGCGGGAAAAATGTCAGCCAAGCGCAAATATTTGAGAACCTCAAATGTGGTCATCTGGTTAAAGTCCTTAGCTGGTCAGTTGACCCAGAGCACGGACAGCTTCTCTGAAGGACCATCAGGAGGGAACTGTCTCTTCCAAAAGACAGAGAAGAATTAGATCTGGAGTTTCTCTGTTGCCAGCTCATCTCAACCATAGTTATCTGTTGGGTTACCAAAGAGGCTTCCCGGGGCTCAGAATTATTCCTGAGCTCCCATTCTTTTTAATTTTATTTAAAGTAACAGTGATTTACTTCCCCAAAAGATAATATCTACAAATGGTACATACTTATTGAAGTTATACAATTAATGCTTGGTATAACCTTAGTGGGGGATAGAAATTAGAATTCTTTACTGGCCAAGTGTGATTGGACACACAAGGAATTTGTCTTGGTGCAAATGCTCTCAGTGTCCATAAAAGAAAAGATACATTCGTCAAGAGTCCAGAATCATCAGGTACAACACTTAATGATAGTCTGGGAGTATATTAAGAATAGAATAGAAGGATATAGGAACAGAATTTAAATGGAGTGGAGTGGTATGGTGTGGTATGGTATGGTATGGTATAGTAATAGTATAGTAATAGTATAGTATAGTAATAGTAATAGTAATAGTAATAGTATAGTATAGTATAGTATAGTATAGTATAGTATAGTATAGTATAGTATAGTATAGTTAGTATAGTATAGTATAGTATAGTATAGTATAGTATAGTATAGTATA